TTATTTTGCGATATATTGCGATAAAAATACAATCCCACTAGATGAGTTGAATAAATTTTTGGAAAGAATTTATAATTTTAGATTGATTGGGATAAATCTGTAGGAGAATGCTTAACTATAAGAAACAATCTACAATTGTTTTCCGAGGAGTCGAACTGTATCAAGTATTATTTGCTATATATAATTCTGTTTGTTTATCTATTTTATATCAATTATTAATTAATTAACAGGGTGAGGCAGTGGCGCAGTAGGTAGTGCTGTCGCCTCACAGCAAGAAGGTCGCTGGGTCGCTGGGTCGCTGGTTCGAACCTCAGCTCAGATGGCGTTTCTGTGTGGAGTTTGCATGTTCTCCCTGCGTTCGCGTGGGTTTCCTCTGGGTACTCCGGTTTCCCCCATAGTCCAAAGACATGTGGTACAGGTGAATTGGATAGGCTAAATTATCTGTAGTGTATGAGTGTGTGTGTAAATGTGTGTGGATGTTTCCCAGAGATGGGTTGCGGCTGGAAGGGCATCCGCTGCGTAAAAACTAAGTTGGCGGTTCATTCCGCTGTGGTGACCCCGGATTAATAAAGGGACTGAGCTGACAAGAAAATGAATGAATGAATGAATTAATTAACAGTTCATATATGTGTAACCCTAAAGAGAATCAGAGGACAACATGTCTGGCTAAAGGTCAGCTGATTGTTCATGTCAAGATATTACAACCTGTCAGTAAACCTATAATAAGCTACATCCAACCCATCATACCTCCCTTCTTTCCCTCAAAAATGATATTTCCTTTTACCTGTCATCATCAAAACTCGCTCTTTTTTTAATATGCATCAGTAATGTGTATCTGCTTCAAGTGTGTGCAAGGGAAATGGAGTGAGGAAAGCTCCTCCGGTGTTTACCAGGGAATGTCGAGGACAGGATGCTGAAGGCGAGAGGAAGCCCTGACGGCAGACTCTCAGGGCAGCTCAGTGTCCGGATACTTTCATTACAGACCAGACCTGGACACCATTTACACATCTAACAGCCTAAACAGACTCTCTTTTTGGCAAGGGGTAAATACGACAACACCACACAACCTGGTTTGCTTCATGTTTCTGTCAGTAATAAACCATGTCCTCCCTCTTTCTCTTCTATCCAACAGAGCAGAAGCTGCAGTGAGGCGGATTGAAGCGCCTCTTCATTCACAGGCTGCTAGTGAGGAACGCCACTCGTACTAAGTCAAAGAAACACATCATGATGGAGCTGAAGATCCAGCTCATTCCCACAGGAGAAATCATTCTGCCTCCTGGGAAAAATGGAGAGTTTTACTGCCAAAGCTGCACAAAGGTAAGAGACTTTTTGACTGCAGAATTAACATAGAAACTTCTTTATTGTATCAGAATGGGATTTAAAACTCATTCATGAAAACAACACGTTCATAACAAATTGCTTTCTGTCAGGATGTTTTGTGTTGATCATAACTGTCCATCCCCTAAAATGAGGGCTTTTTAGTATTTTCCCTGATGTAAGCAAGATCTTTATTGTCAGCATATGTTTGTCTATAATAGAAGCAAACATCGCAAAATGAAATTGCAAGGTTTTGACTGGCTTTAAATGAGCCCACATGAAAAAGTACAGTAATTTATTGTAAATAAATACTAGTGTTTTGAACCATACTGTGGTAAAGTGTATTATACTGTGTGTATATATTATACTATTTACAACTCTTATGTTATTGAATGATACAGCATGCTGCTTTATTCAATATAGTGAACTGAGAAACTGTAATAGATATTGTACTACAGTATATGAAGAGTTTAGATGCAAAAACCTCTAAAAGCCATTTGATATTTTCTTCTAGCATCTTTCTCCAACTCTTGTGTGTTGGCTCTTTAATTTTACGTTCTTTGCATTGCCTTTTAAGTGAAATAACTGAACACAAACATACCGTAGGTGGCTGGGAAAGATTCTCATTTTAGGAGAAGTTTCAGATGGCATTTAGAGGTTTTTGCATCTGAACTCTTCATATATATTACAGAATATCTATAACTACAGTAAACCGGTGTATTGTAGTATAATATACCCCTATTTGTTGAGAATTTAGTGTATTGGGTACATTCTAAAAATGATGTGCAGTGTTGGGTCAAATAGGGATAAACTCAGAACTTGGTTATGTTTTTCCAATCAAACTTAATTAAACGATTAAAAAAGTTTGTCCATGTTTGACCCAACACTGTGTTAAAACAGCCCAGCATTTTATTGAGTCCTACCACAGCAAGTAAAGAACTACCCCAACAGATTCATTCAAGTACTAACATTATAGAATGTAGAAATTACTATAGTATTATGTGTCTTTTGTTTTCAACTATTTTCAATACACTTGAAATTCTGTAGTTATAAAATGTCAAATGGCTTTTGATATAGAGAATATAGTCAGTATTTTGTATCTCTGCAATGTTTTTCCTTCGACCACATCTTAATGTTGAGAAATTGGTCTGGATTGCTCCAGCACACTCCAAGGAATGTAGGGTGTATACTAAAATCTGTCTGTGTGTGCATGGAAAATGACCATTAACTCTGACAGAAGTTTAAATGTTTCTTATGGATTGCATAAAAGTTCCAAAGGAAATGCTCTGTTTGACTGTGAGTGTTACACCCGCTTCGTTCAAATATGCTCCATTTTTCTTCTTCGACTTGTTTTCTTTCCTTGGTTCATTTAGTGTCACTGGAATCTTGTTGATAAGAATCTGCTTTGCGTGTCTTTTCTAGTTTGAGAAACACTTGAGTTTAGTACCCATTTAATAGAGGTTAGAATGAAGTTCAGCTTGGATGAGGAAATGACACAGAAAATTCCGGAACGGCATACTTTTCCTGACTTTCTGGCAAGGTCGTGTCATCCTCGCTGGCTATGTTTGAGCTTGAGAGGGAGGTACACTAAAGGAATAGTTCACCTAAATAAATTCAAGTCTGTCATCATTTACTCACTCTCCACTTGCTCCAAACTTTATTGTTTATTGTTACTTTTTAATTTTGTCAGTATTGAAAGGCAGTGAATACCGATTTCCAAAAAATTCCTTAAAATATCATGATTATAAGTAATCTATCCCTTATATATAGATAAAATGCTGTACTATTATTAAATAAGCGATAAAGGCAGGAACAGTAAGAGTTATGCCCATTTCCACTCGACCGGTGACTGGAGACATGGACACTCCCTTTAGTACTGTCTGTCCCACATTGCCTTGTCAACAGGATACAACCTTTCCTCTCGTTTAGCCGGTCGGCACAAATGCGCTTAATGTCAGTCCAGGGTTTGGTAGAGAGCAGAATCGATCACTCCACCCTCTGGCTACAGCAGGACACTGCACTTCACATGCATTATATCAGCCGTCAGGTCACCTTGACATGGGGGATTGTCTTTCAGCAGTGTTTATTGATACGCTGGAATGTTTAGACGTGGATTTCCTTTCACTGTGTGTGTAGACTGAAAGAAAAGAGAGATGTTTTCAATGAACAGCAGTGATTCTGTCAGTGGCATTCAGAGATTTTCCTTCTGAATAGCATAAAAAGGGATTTATTCTTTTATTTTCCTTCAGCTTAGTCCCTTATTTATCAGAGGTCTCCACAGTGGAATGAACCACCAACTATTCCAACAAATGTTTTACACAGTGGATATCCTTCCAGCGCCAACCCAGTAACCATTTACACACCACTGTCAATTTTTATTCTAAAGTTTATTCAATTCACCTATACCTCATGTCTGTGGGGTACTGTGGGGGAAACCGGAGCACCTGGAGAAAAACCACACAAACACGGGGAGAACATGCAATGTCCACACAGAAATGCTAACTAAGACTCAAACCAGCAACAGTGCAAACCACTGAACCACATTGTCGCCCCTGTTAAAGTGTTAGTTCACCCAAAATGAAAAAAAAAAAACCTGCAATTGAAAACCTGTAACCATTGACTATAGTGGGAAAAACAAATACTATAGACATCAATGGTTACAGGTTTTCAGCATTCCTTAAAATATTTTCTTTTGTGTGCAAAGGTCAATTAAAAAGCCCAACAGGTTTGAAATAAGTAAAAGTCTGTAAATTATAAAATAATTGTCAGTTTTGGCTGAATTATCTCTTTAAGACCATTAATTGAAAAATTTAGAGAATTGTTGATTTGGGCTTAATAATGCCAAATACATGTGCATCAAAATACAGTATTTTGTTGATAAATCACCATAGAATTAAAAAAAAAAAAAATGTTCTCCCCGTGTTTGTGTGGTTTTTCTCCAGGTGCTCCGGTTTCCCCCACAGTACCCCACAGACATGAGGTATAGGTGAATTGAATAAACTTTAGAATAAAAATTGACAGTGGTATATATATATATATATATGAATTTTAAATAAAGTATAATCAAATAATTCAAATTATTATAAATATGTAAATAATAAAATCCAATATGTAAACAATAGAAAAAAAGTTTTTAATTAACTAAAACTTATTTTATTTCATTTATTAAAATTAGATAAAACATTACATACAACTTTAAAAGGACAAATATATGTATGGAGAAAATATCTAAAAACCACAATATTATCTCAATTGCACATAAACAACACTGCAGTCTATACCAGGGTGCCGTTGACTGTTGTTTTCTTCTTTATCCTCAGTAGAGGGCGTTATAACGCTTATATGCTCAGTTTCGAGTAACGCCTACTTTATCTCAAGTGTCCCTCATACCTCGAGATTGATGCATTTGTCGAAATACAAAGTAAATGTTCACTAAAACTACACATGCAAACAAGCACATGTAATCTGAATAAGCGATTAGTCATACTTATAAAACGAAGATGTAAGCCGTGCTTCTATTTCTGTATTTAAATATTACATATTATGCTTCTGAATGGAATAAATAGGCAATCTGAATAAAAAATCTCTTGTTTTTCCACTCAAAGCCTCCAACTTTTACTGTACAGAAGTGAAAGTCCCAGAGATACACATTATTAGTCGTGAACTTCCTGGTCGAGTGAAAGAGAGAGGGGGAGAGAGAGAGGGCGGCTGCCGGGTTGGTAGTGGTAATATATCTCTAACACTCGCTTCAAGCCAGTTCTGAGAGAATGTCCTTTGGCATGACGTTAGTTACTTCAACTAGAGCATGACTCTGTGTTTATTTACACTTAAATCTCCTGTAGTCTACATCTGCCAACACGACGTAAAAGCGGATTTTTAGTGCCATACAGGGGTACATATTAAGGTCGGTGGGATTCACACAGGAGAGAAAAGTGCAATTACAGCTGAAGTGAGAGAAGAAGTTTCCCATCACCGCCGAGTGTCTCTTATGCAGTATTACGGTTGTTTTGGACGTTGCGGGGTTTGAAGTTGGCGTGCTTTAATCAAGGTAAGTGCTTGACGCGCCATTCATTTCATTCAGAATCAAAGCACGATGTCAGTTTACGTTTCATGACGTGTGGGTTTTGAATCCACACGTGTAGTGTCTGTCTGTGTTTCCAAACGATTTGTTTCTTGCACATTTGCTGTATTCAGAGTGAATCGTTTAAAACGGTTCGTAAAATCGGTGTAGATGATTCTTTTGAGAATCGGTCAGAGCAGCTCTCTTTCTGGACATCCGATTCGTAATGAACCGAGCTTTTAAATGAACTGAACGACAATTATATATTTACAATATTTATCATTATTATTATTAAAAAAACTATAGTAATACTTGTTATTGTCATAACCTATCTGTGTTAAAGCAGTTCTTTATACCATTTTCAGACTGTCAGTCTAAATCTAAAATTTGTCCACACCTGAGTAGAATCTGTTTCGCAAGTGTGAACAGAAAAAAATAAGTTACTACTTTTACAATTCATTTCAGATTAAACCAAAGAACAAGCTGTGGTTTTTGTAGCTGAACCATGGTGACCACAAATTAATCATGTTTTTGCCACATTATGGCCATAGTTTGTTATCATTACAGAAGGAAAAGAAGAACAAAATATATACGAACTCAAACAAAATAGATATGGCCATAGTTTGTAAATACATATTACATTTTTACATTACACAGTTTAACCATTTAACCATAGTTTAAGCATGTTTAGCAAAACCGATTATACAAATAGTTATAAGTGTACCATAGTCTTAGCACTTTAGAACCATAGCATTTTTAATAAATAAACCATGTCTAATGTTAATTAGGACATTTATATCAGATTTTAGTCTGTACACACATTTTCTAAACAAGCTTTAACTGTTTATTACTGTTTAATATTAGCACTATTTAATATTACTGTTTTTCACTAAGAGAGCACACTCTGTCTAGACAGTAGGGCATCAGGTGTATGTCAGCTCTCTAGGGTTTGAAACACAGCAAGTGTCATTTGTTTATGGCCACTTAGATCACCTCCTACTTCACTCTGTTATTCATGAAAATACCACCCTAACCTGTTCACATTTGATTCAAATGCATGATGGTAATACAAACAAACCTCTATATCCAAAGCTTTTGTTAGGGAGTGATTTGGGCGGCTTCATACCACATTCTTTTCAGGACTCTCTAATGGACATAGGGAGTTAAAGAAGACCAAATGCTAATCATTTGTCATGCCAAAATAACCTCCTCTAGACTAATTATACATCAGCGCCTCCACTGGCAATATACTCCGCATTACCTCAGAGGTCAGTCTTGTAAAATTGTGTTGAAAATGTGTTGTTTTTACGATACTGCACATATAAGAGGATGTTGCTTTCACCTGTGTGGCCGAGCTGCACTTTGCTGATGACATCTTAAGGTCACTGACAGGTCGTGTCCTTAAGTGTCCTCATGCACATTCCCCTCTTGCATGTCATTCCTGTCTCCATGTGTCGAAAAACCTGGCGAAGACAAGCCTGTCAAGTTGAATGAATTGCTTGCAGAGTTGCAGTGGGAGATCTGTTTTATTGCGCAACACTGGATTGATGGTGTAACTAGTATAATTGACAACATTTAGGAGCTGACAGTTGCTATCTATAAAGAATTGAATAATGCAATAAACATGCTAGATTAGAGGTGTGTGTATGTGTGTGTATGCGCTGTCTTCCAAGAAATGTGTGTTTTTCATTTCTAGTGGTAGGGTTGCAAAAGATTAGTCTTGTTAATCTTAAAGTATGCTTCAGTTTTTATGTGAATAATAGAGTACTGCAACTGCTTTTAATTGTTTTAGAATCATCTTGTCACAAAGTTTCAACAGCAAACCAAGCCTTTCTTTTCCAGTCAGATAAGAATCATTAGATATGGAACAAAACAACCATAAACATCTGATCACACCCATGTTAATGAGGGCATTAATGAGGGGAATGACAATCTGTTTTACAAGTTCATTTAAATGAGTAGAAAGTAGGGTTGGGACATTTTTCGATGTTGATTTTCATGCACATGTTGTCAGTAAGGGTGTCACGATCCTCTAAATCCTCGATTCAATAACATTTTCGATTCTAAAGGCACGATTCGATTCGATTTTCGATTATGAACAATTAATTAATGATCAATTAATTATTTGTAGCCTACCGTTTAAACTACCTGACCTGCATGGTCTTTGTGTTACCCATAAACAAATCATACAGTAAATGAATAAAGGCAAGATACACACATAATTACCACCTGTCAATCACTTTTTTTCTGCGGGACTCGTGAATAGGCAGTGATCTGTGTCGTTATAATGGCGTCGCTAAAAAAGACGCACAACCAACAGGAACCAGCCAACAGTATCTGAGGTGTTCGCTAAAATGACTAAGTACAAGTGAGTGAATGATTGAAGCAATCTACTGATCCTCTGACTGCCTGAACCCGCTGTCTCGAGCCCATGGCTGTGTGTGTGCGTCTGTGTCTCTGTGTGTGTGTGTGTGTGGTCACGTGATGTGTGTTTTCAGCGGTAGTGAGGAAGGAGGGCTGCTCAGAAATGCTACACGCCACTGTGGATGTCAAATCGTTGTCGTTCTAAATGCCATTTAAAAACAAAGACAGTGTAAACAGGGCCTGAGTGTGTACTTTTTGCGAGCGGATTTGCAACGGGGGCGGGCGGAGGATCGCGATGCCGGTGTTGTCTATCAGACGAACCCTAATACGTACATAGCAGAGCTTGCAAAACTGTGTTTTTTTGTCGACAACACGAACGTTGTCAACATAACTCATTGGAAATCCAAAATGCTTACACACCGGCGACTTCATTGAAAGAGGAGAGGGTTTAAGTTCTGTCGACGGGTCTCCTGCTTCTGCAGTTTAACAAGCACTTCAACAAGCCTGTTTTTTTTCCCGCTTGGCAAGCCAAACTGACGTGACATGGGGGCGTGGCAGCATCGACGATTCTATTTTTGATTCGATAATCGAAATTGAGCATAAATTTCGATCGATTTCGATTAAAAATCGAAATCGTGACACCCTTAGTTGTCAGTCAAGCCGGTTCTAGTAAAGCTTCAACACATGCTTTCAGATGGAGCAGCATTCACTACACGGCACTATTGTTTACTGAAAAATTGGTTTCAAAATGGGAATTGATTTAATCAGAAAATAAAGACATTGAGATAAGCTCTGTGTGATATTGACAACGTTTGCATAGCTTCTCAATGAACTATGGCACTATGTGCTCCTAAAGGTCTACATCCCCTCCAAGAGCCTCCGGCCGGGGTGAAAGCACTGACTTGTGTTGCCATTGCAGAGAGACTATAGGTGCGTCTCAAATTGCATACTAATGCACTATTCTACACCATTTTGTAGTATTAACAGTGTAAGTAGTGAAAATAATAAGTGCACTTTAATTACCCGGATGATGCACTTATTCAACCGATAAACAGAAGTGTGGAATGATAGACACTTCACACACTCAAAGGAAGGGGTGGAGCTTTCAGGCACTGATGTTGAATTACATTATTTGTTTTACATTGAGGAAGCCAAATTCTCCTTCGAGAGTGATTATAGCACCTCCCGATGGTGAATGCGGTTATACTCATGGCAGGTATTATTTAGTAGTTTGCTCATTTATTTTGCTAATTTGGCAACCATGATCAAACATCATCTGGGGAACAGTTTGAATTTCCGCTCAGTAAAAAAAACATAAGTGTTCCATTTGGGACAACACTACATACAGTACATATACTATGCTGTTGAATGTGCATAAGTACAAAGTGCATAGTGTATTCGCTTGTTAAGTCGTGACATTTGGAATACTGTTTCCGGGTCCAAAACGCTACCCATTTGAATTGAGAAAATATGTATTTATTACCAGTTTTTAGTCAAATCACACTTTAAAGAGAATTTTATATAAAATCATAGTGTACACAACAGTCTCTAGATTTGCTCCATCACAAATACCAAAATTTGTTCAATTTATAAAAAATCAGTCACTTTCTGGCTGTGGAATTATAGGCATGGATATACACATGGATTTTGATTTTCGAAAGTATTACATCGTTTTGTAAACGTTTATTATTACCATTTGATGTGTCTCCCCATACAGTTTGATAGAGTGCTTGGACCCGGAAGTTGCTTGGCGTGACGTCACACTTAACAAGCGGATAGTGTGCCATTTTGGACGCAGTTAACCTCACTTTCTAAAAACTAATTCAATGCTCCACTCTGGTGGAATAATCTTCCTATTCTCACTTGGACTGCAAATTTATTGGTATTCTTCAAAGGACAACTAAAAACACATCTCTTCCGAGAACACCTGAACCCTGGTGAATAAAACGTAGAAACACTTTGTCTCTCTCTCTCCCGCTCTCTCTCTAAAAAAAACACTCCTACTCTAGCACAAAATTCTCTGAGCACAAACAAGCTTTGTATAACTAGCACTTATTGCGTGTATTGCCTCTTTTTGTTGAATCACTGAATGCCTCCCCAATTTTAAGTTGCTTTGGACAAAAATGTCTGCAAATTGCCTTAATGTAAATGTGTAGTAAATGCTGCACGGGAAATTACCACATATAATAACATGTTTTTACTCCAAACTCAGTTCACAGCTTTAGTTGAGTGTATGAAATAAATCCTAATTAGAGATGATTACGTGTATTTGGAGTTTCTGTCTGGCCTTCAGAGGAGATTTACAACTGATCACACAACCGTGCTTTCCTAACAAGATGTGCATGACAGTAACACAGGGTATTTGTGGGGTCTTAAAATGTTTTAAATTTTAAAACCAAATTTTACAAAAAGTCTTAAATCCACTAAAATATAACGTTGTAGGGCTTAAATAATTTTAAACAGGACTTCATTTTCCTATGTCAATGTAAAGCTATACCCAATCGGGCCAACACCCATCCAATCACTAACAATATATTTCAATAAAAGTTTTAAGAAACTTTAATTTATTAACTCTATTTACTTATTAAGATGGTTTAACTATCTTCCTTACAATAACATTTGTT